TATATATATATATATATATATATATATATATATATATTATACATACAATTATTACTCAGCCATAAAGAAGAATGAAACATAAAGCTATGACATTTGCCAGTAATTGGTTGGAACTGGAGACCATCATGGTAAGTGAAAGGTAAGTGAAAGCCAGACCCGCAAAGGCAAAGGTTGAATGTTTTCTCTGATATGCAGAAGATAGACCAAAGTAAGGGAAACAAAGAAATAAGAAAAAAGGCGGGGAGGTTTCCATGAAAATAGAAGATACATCAGTGGAGCAGAGAAGGGGGATGGATGGTAGGGAAGATAAATGAGAAAAGTGAAGAACAGTGGAATGACTCTGACTGAACTTCCTATGTGCATATATGAATACACCACAGTGAATTTCCTTTTTATTTATATCCACAAGGTACTAAAAGAAAGCATAAATAGACAAAAGAAACACCAGTAGAGAATAGGCAAGGATCATGGGAGAGAAGTATAGGGAAAGGAGAAATACTATGGGTGGAATTTAAGCAAATGACATTCCATGATTGCATAGTTATATCAAGTGAATCTTAAAAAATGTGTCCTCATAACTCTTCCTGGGTCCTGCCTTTCACCTTTGTCCGTGCTACACCTCCACGTCCCCAGAAAGGTGTTGATCTGATCTCTATCACTATGGATGTGTCAATATTTTTTATAAATGTACGTAAATGAATTTATGCAAGGTGGATTGTTGGGCTCCTTTCAACAGCCATAATATTTGTGAGAGGAAGACATATTTTGTATAAATCACCCATTCCTGTGTTTTGCTCTATTATTAAAGTTAAAACTAGTGTGGATGTCTTATGAAAGATCTTGTAAGAATTCACAAAGAAATAGAAGGGCTGTGCCATATATTAGGAATAGGTTTAATTTTTAAGCAGCTGGACTTCCTGCTTTCTGAAAGGATGGTACCACTAACAGTGCAGAAGAGTTCTACTCCCCACACTTTCTCACCAACATTTGTATAGCCAGACTTTAGCTCTTCAACTGGTGTGCAATTATATCATCTCATGATCTCAATTTTTATGAAGCTTTTGGTTTATTTTGACAAGTAACTTTTCATGTGATTATATGATGTGTATATGTCTTCTCAATGAAATCTCTTCCAAAGCATATGCCTGTGCTTTCAATTTTATTTTAATTTTCTAATAGTTGGGCTTAGATTTTTTTCATATAGAAAGAAGTCCTTTTTGAATATGACTTACAAACATTTTCTACCATTCTTTGTTCTGCTTTTTCATTCTTATAGCAATACCTTCCAAATATCTCTTCTTCATCTCAGTTGTCATTTTTGCTCCTTTCTTGTTCTTGTGATGATATTGTCTGTAGGTAATCTTCATCTCTTTAAAGACTTTGTCCAATAGAAATTTCATAAATGTACATTTTGCATTTTAGTCCTTGATCTATTTTCATTTAATCTTCATATACTATGTAGTAGGAGACTCCATAACTTAATGAGGTTTTGATTTAATTAAGTGATGGAGATACCAGCCTTGATTATAAAATGCAATTATAGGAAAATTGTGCTGAAGAATCAACCCCTGGGGAAGGGGGTTAATTTTCATATACTTTGTAACTACCTGAGCTACATCACATAATTTCTAGTATAAATTGTAGGTTGCTATGCTAATTAACTGCTGTCTAAACTATAACCTAATTGGCTTAGTTCTTAGAAATATAGCTCTTAGTGAGATAAACTCAAGTCATCTTGAGTTACTGCTGCTGTGGTGAAGGCCACTTCACGACTACACTCACAGGTATTTTACTGCCTTTGTTCTACACCTACTTATTCTCTGTGCATGGTCTTTGGTCATGTAGGCCAAGAATTCAAACCCATCGATGTTGTAATGGTTAAGAAATGATGTTAAATTTCCTACTAAAGCCCCATGTAACTCCAGCTTGGGGCCCAGAACTTTAGAACACTAGCTCTTCTGGGTCTGACTATGTAAATAAATCTGAGTTCTCCAACCCTCCAATAGTGCTTGGTCTCTTACTGAGCATGATTTCCATAACAATTATAGCAGAGGGGGAATCTTCCCTCTGCTCCTAGCAATTGCAGAACACTATAGGCAGTGGAGCTAGCAATTTGTGAAGCATTGTTCTGGATCTGGCCCACCTGTGAGCAAGTCCAAGCCAGTCCTGGGGGCTACGACCCTCTGTACTGCCCCTTGGGAAAGGCTGACCAGCTGTTGAGTAGGGTGCCAAGGGGATCTGGGATGATGTCTTACGCCCCAATCCAGGTTGCCCTGTGTAGCCACTCTGTGGTTAAGGTATTGTAGAGCTTAAACCCGCAGCCTGGGCTGGGATTCCCGGGTTACCCAAAAAGAATGTGCTGTGCTGTCGCTGCCCACCAGGGCCTCTAGCTGTTAGCTTGGTGGTTGCTCCAGTACTGCTGGTTACTTGGTCCCTGAGCCTGTTATATACCCCATCAGGTTGAGACTGGATCCAAGGCAATGCTGCCAATCCAATGGAGGTTCCCAGAACAAAGAAGCACACCATACTTATGGTCCAAAGTAGTTCTGGGAGGCAGGAGGAGACTATAAGAGGACAGCCTTGGAAGGAGGGGTGGTATCCATAGTCTCCTCTGCTGCAGGCTTTGATGATGATGATGATGGCTCTGCATGCCAGGTGGGAGGCAGTGCATGGTCCATAACTGGGATCACTATAAGTAGGGCAGCATTCCAAGGACAGGTTCTCCATTGGTCCCCAGGAGGACTCTCAGATGAGGGCTGAGGAGTGGTTAGTGGGACAAAAGGCTGGCTCAAATGGGAGTTGGGACATGAGACCTGAGATGTTGGGGAGCCATTGGAGTCTTATGCCATTGCTGGCTGCCTGTGCTGCCTAGGGCCATGGACCTGGGGGCATGGACAGGAGCTGTCCTTGGAGACAGGTGGAGATGGAAATATCACTGTCATAGAAGGGGGAGTAGTGTCCATGGATAAGTTGGCCTGCACAGTTGGATATGCCAAGTCAGGTGAGCAGAGGACTTGGCTTTGGTGCCTGCAGAGACACTTGCAGCCGTTAAGTTCTGGCCATAGCTCCTGGGGTTGTAGTTGAAAGGGACTAAAGTGGGGCTTAGGAAGGAATGAGGAGGAGGAACAGGAGGAGGAGCAGGAAAGGAGGAAGATGAGCAGGAAAGGAGGAAGATGAGAAGCAGGAGGAG